AGATATCTCAAATTGCATTGCTCTTCAATTCTAATTAATTGCTGAAGCTTATTGGTAAGGTCCATCGGGTAGGCTGCTATAGTTTAATTTCACCATTCCACCATGATGAAATCCTGCATATTTCACCTAAAACTAATATATATCGCCGATTGACACTCAGGAAACTTTAGTCGAATTTATTTCTGCATTAGACGCGTTAGCGAGTCCTGGACTCTACGACAGGCTTTTAGAACTTACTGGAACTGCTGCATAGTGGAACTTTAAGCTCTTAATGCAAAACAACTGGATTGTACACATTTGAAGCACACGTTTTGAATATTATCGACTAAGTTTTATGAATATAACGTGAATAATATAACAAATAACGGTTGGCTGATACTGAATATTTCTACAATGCCGTACCTATAGGAATTCAAATTGGTACTTGAAGGGATTTACGTAATGTCATGTAAATAACAAAATATAAGTAAAAACAAAGGCAACGTAACCTATGGATCATTTAGAATAACGTACTAATACTGCCTCTAAAATGACTACATTCGATTACAGTCTGGTTGTCACGATAAGAATTTCAGATGCAAAGAAATATTTCGATTTATAATCGTCAGAAATAAAAGATATATCAAAGCCAGAAACACAAGCGCCATAGTTTACCTGAAAGCCTGCAGAAAATAAGAAGTCCATACATCCAGGGATGACTAAAAGAGTCTCAGTGAAATCAGTACTCGTCAAAGTAATCCGACGACAAGTTTCGTCTTGAGGATTGGTCAAGATCTTGTCCATAATCTTATGTAGACATTTAAAAGCCCGAATTTTCTCTTCATCATTTTCATGAAGCTTAAGTTGTATGAGCGAGTAATCTAGTGAAAATTCATCCAGAACAGCTCGTAATTTGCTGAGATTGCTGCCTAGAGTCAGGTTTAAACCCGATGTCATTTAAATGTGACTAACCGACAATTGTTCGAACACAACGCTCATCCTGATACAATTTAAAAGTCGGTAAAGCAGATATGCCTTCTTGTCGAGAAAGTTCTCTGCAATGTTCCGTATTCACTTTGAGAAAGACGAAGTTTTTTGGTTGATACTCTGCAGACAGTGCCTCAAAATGAGGCGCAATAAAACGACATGGTCCGCACCAGTCTGCATAGAAGTCCACTATCAAAATATTCCCAGATTTAGAGCAGCTGCGCAAAGTTTCCTTGAACTCCGGCACACTACTGACTACACGCATTGAACGACCTTGGATTTAAATATGCCCCGCTGACTGTAGACGTGTAAGCAAAGATATCCAATATGCAATTAATATGACTGAAATTATCGGCTGAAATTGTCTGCCACGTTCTAGGTCATTGGTGGAGTGAGACGCACAAGGTTATTTTCGTCCATGTTGGATTGCAGTTCCGTAGCCATTCGTTTACACATTGGGTTTTACGCTTATCCTGCAGTTATTCACAACTTACCTTGATGCACATAGTTCACAAATGTCGCGTTTCACCTCACTTTTATTTCCGTCGCTGTTAAACTTTGTTATTTCTTTTTGTTTCGAAAGTTCATATCACCAGCTCAGTTAATTCATTCCATCGTAATTGTTTCATACGTTGCAATCATGCGTGGTTTCAGTGGTTTAGTTGTTTTTCAGATGTTTTAAAATAATACTGTGTAGGAGTTTAGGAAAATATGCACATGAACATGTTTAGGTGGCAAAAGCTGTTGTTTCCAGTTCATTCGTTGGCTGCCGTTGTTATTGCTGGCTCAATTGTTTACTTAATATGTGGAAATCTGGAAAAAAATGTCTTTCACGTTTATGTTTACAGCATGCAACAATCTATGAGTGAATCTGGTGAAGAGAACATGATCAGAGTTGATATTAGCAAGGTTTTTGAAGCGCATACTAAGCCTGGAGAATTTGGAACCTGGATTGAAGTTAAATGAGCTTTGAAGCTTTTCGACAAGGTGAGTATACCATCAGTGTGTCTATTATCAGTGAAAAATTCAGATATATTGTAAGAGAATCTAAATCAAACAAGGTTTAGGCACATCAGAAGTGTGAATCTGTTGCACCTGTATGTATTTTGGGGAACAAAAAGAAACTGGAAAGCAATCAGAAACCTCTAAAGGGTGTTACATGTTTGTTAATGCCTAGTGTACTAGATTCAAATACATGAACTAGAACTACCTGTAGTAAAGCCAGTGTTAACAGACATTCAATTTGTTGCAAAATGATTTTAAAAGCGGATAACATATGATGATCTGGTGAGTGTATGAACTATCCCAGTTAAAGGTAAGACTTTAATTAGCAAAAATAACGTTTCGGGCTGTGGTCTACGATTGTTGATTTTCTCTGAGTTACAACAGGCTGAGAAGCTGATTATTATTCGGGGTAAAATCATTGGCTGAACACAAATTGTTTGTTCCAGTTCAAATAATCAAATTCTTACTTTTCGGATGTTTGTAATTTCTCGATTGGAATAATTACTAGATGTCCATGATTTTTAAGAAAACTTTAAATTGTCCTTGAAGCTGTGGTCTTCTTTTTCTTGGCGTAACATCTGTTAATACGATTAGACGATTAGGTAGCAAAGTAGAATATTCTGTGACTGAGAATCGTAGTCATTGTGTTTCGGATTAATATCGCGCGTCTGTGACTGCAAATAGTGATTTATTTGGGGTGATAGGATAAATACCTCTAAACACCTTCGTGGAGATTACGGTATATTTACTTTTTTCGACTAGGAGACTATCTTTTAACCAAGAAACTTCTCAGAATTTCCACATTTACGTTGTTATTCAAAGATAACGTTCAGCTGCTCACTAAGGTAGTAGCTAAAGAAGATTACCTTTAGCGGAAACTATTTTAAGGTAGCTACGTAGCTTTAGTTGATGCGTCATAGAAGTAGGCAGCCTACGTTGATTGTGTCTAAACGTTGTATAACTGGTCAAATCGTAGTTCTTACATACTAGTTAGTTTTGTAAATAATGAATGAACCATACAAACGTTTACTCTGATTTGCATACCTAGCTCATAAGCATTATGTTTGCATGTGGTATACATTTAGGGCTGATACGCTGTGTGATGAGTTCTGTGAAACACGCTACTATCATGATTAAAGCAACAAGAACAGGTGAAGCAAAATAAAGTGGCGTCATTAAAGTCTAATAATAATCTACTTAAATTCGAAAAACAGTGCTTATAAAACAGAATGGAATTTTCACCATTTATCACAATATTGCATCTGAATTACCTAAAATATAAATTAATCACAGGAATTTGTTCACAGTTAGGGTATTATGTCAAAAATATTCGAGAGAGGATTATAAATGTAAGAATAATAACAGTGAAGCTTGATGAGATGAGGATGGGGAGAGTGGTTTATTCACTAGTGCAAATAAGTTTAGTTAGTTAGTCCATGACACTATTTTCATCGTATAAAATACGTACCAAATATGGTATCGTGGATGTTTTGTACTAAGACGTGTATGCATACAGTCTTTTGAAATAATTTCTTGTTTTACCCTAATGACAGTCTTCAGAGTTCTACGAAGTATGACATAGTCTTTTTTTAAGCAACCCAGGAAAGAATAAAGGTGGACAGTAAATAAGAATGGGTAAGATGCACGAACTGACAAATTGTAAGAGGAGGGTTTGAGTTCTGCCTAAGTGCCTTAACTTCTTAATGTGAAAAGTCAGATGAAATGTTCTTTTAGAAATAGCTAAGACAAGGGGAGACTAGGATTGGTCAGAAGAAAGAATTAATCGAAGATGCATAACGTCAGACTTGATTTCTATTTCACTATCATCAATTTTGCTACGATCATGAGAATTAAGAGCTTCATTTAACTTTCTTTTACATCGGAAACTGAAATTAAAATTCAGACATTTGGAAGGATTCAGTTGAAGACCATTTACTGACTCCTGATAGAAAGCTGTTGATCTTAGTACAGTCTAGCTGGGGTTAACAGGCATTGAAACACAACGGCGGCCTGCTTGAACATAGGGCTACCAAAAATTCCACCTTACCACATTTTGCAAAATTGCTTTGGTTTGCTCTTTTAATTTTGTTTTAATTTATCAATAATGTGTTCAAATCGTATTATTCATAATCGCGCATTTTTAAAATCATTACAACCTACTGCGTTGTGTCATCCACAAAAATTGAGAAAAAAGCATCACTGTGGATGGCAGCGTGCACTGAAACGTACACAAATTAATCAAATGACTATTCCTGAACTCGTTAGCACTAATTGTAGATCCCTGTCCAACAAAATGGATTCCAATATCCAATATCCTGATTACGAGCTAGTATAAACCAGTGATTTCTTTGAGCTCGCTTCTTGATTTTAAGGTAGAGGTTCCAGATCTTCGGTGAACTTATGCGTAGTAAATCCCGCCACTCGACTGCTTTAGCTCTGGTAGACTCCAAGAGGAGTGATGCGAGGATTGGTCAAGATTGTGGTTTGTAGTGTGCAGTATGTTAGGACTCAGCTGCTGCCGTGAATGGAGTTTGACCTAACACCCGTTGGTCATTCGGTATAGTCATAAAAGTAGAGTAATAATAATAATAATGATAATGATAATAATAGGTTGTAGTGTAGATAATATAGGTTGAGATAAGTGAAATAATAAAGGTGAAATAATAAAGAAAGAAAGAAAAGATAGAGTAGTCGGTACAGTGGGAGAAGACAGGACGGGTCGTGGGGATTTAGCTTGTATGCTTATCCATTGACAATGTGGTTTCAAATTTTAAGAGGGTAAGCCATTGAGACACAAACCATGCATTTCTGCATGATTGTCCAGCTTCCGCTTAAAAGTCTCCACAGATGGAGCTGTAGTTACGGCCGCCGGTAAAGCGTTCCAGAGACGGCAAACTCGAAGCGAGAAGAAATGTGAACGCACTCGAGTCCTTGGTCTCTGGTGTGCTATCCTTAGCGGGTTACCTCGTGGAAGCCTATAATCACTTAATGGCAGGATGCTCTTATTAGGATGGGCCTGGTCATTTAGGATCTTATAGACGGTGATGAGGTCTCCCCTGTGACTACGGTAACTAAGTGTGAAAAGACTTAATTTCTTCAGTCTCTCCTCATATGATTTGTTGCGGAGGCCGATCACCCATTTTGTCGCTCGTCTCTGGACACTTTCTAGCATGTTAGCATCCCTTTTGAGTAGCGGAGGAGCAATGATATTATGCACCTCAAGGAGTGGCCTCACGTATGTCGTATACAACGTTAGGAATAGTTCAGGAGTAAGAGCTCCCAGCTGCCTATGCATAAAGTGTAAAGTGGCGTAAGCTTTGGCGACGTCCCTCGTGTAATTTACACTGGTGTCTAGCTTTTCTGTTAAAATAAGGCCTAGATCGCGTTCTGATGGCACACAACTCAAGTTCTGGCCACCAAGGGTGTAATTTGCACTCTGTGACCTGCCGGAATGAAGTTGCACTACTTTGCACTTCTTTAAGTTGAAAGGCATTCCGTTAGCCAGAGCCCAGTCCCCCAGCGTTTGCAGGTCAGCCTGCAATCTGTCGGAGTCTTCCGATGAGTTTATTGCTCTCCAAATCTTTACGTCGTCAGCGTAAAGAAGCGCAGAGCAATTCAGTTGACAGGGCAGGTCATTGATAAAAATCAAAAACATCAACGGCCCTAAGATAGAACCCTGAGGAACCCCTGATGCCGAGGTGTGCCAGGATGATCGGATGCGGTTGACTTTGGTGCAGAATTCTCTCTCGCCTAAATAATCTTCCAGCCATGCGAGAAGTGCTCCAGAAACACCCGCTTTGCTTATTTTGTGAAGGAGCAGACCATGGTGAACTGTGTCGAATGCTTTCGCAAAGTCGAGAAAGATCACATGGACTGGTACCTTTACATCCCAGGATAGTGTCCAATCGTTCCAAGCTAGTAGAAGATTCGTCACACAGGATCTTCCCCTCCTGAAACCGTGCTGTGCTTCATGGAGTAGGTTAGTCCCGTCGAAGTATTTTCTCATGTGGTCGTCAATGAGACTTTCCAATATCTTCGATATCACTGGGAGTAGCGCAACTGGTCTGTAACTGGTCGCGTTCTGCCGGTCACCACCCTTGAAGATAGGGGATAGGATGGCTCGTTTCCATTCACATGGAAGTTTCCCTACATCAAAGGAGTGTTGAAACAGATCACTTAGGGGTTGGCAGAGACTTTCTGAACACTGCTTCAGGACGGATGGTCTTATGTCATCGCAACCTGCAGACTTTCCCGAAGCCAACTTTCCCAATTTTACGAGTACCATAGCCGGGGTAATTTGAAATGTACCCAGCAGGTTTTCGCACGTTGGTCTTGCATTGTAATCTTGATGTTTTGTGAGGGTAAAA